TATGTTGTTAAAAATTAACAAGGAGGTCTCGGGTTTAAATAAACAAGGCGGTCTGGTTTATGCTGCTTGAAATTAGAGTTTTTTTCTTATTTGTTTTTGCAGCTCTCATTGAATCTTCTAGCCTAAACTTGTGTGGGTCTCCCGTTGTATCTCGAGTTGTAGCTTTTATCTTGCTTGAGGCTTTTACTTTATCTGTTGTTGTTTAACTGGTTCTTTTTGGCCTTGTACTAGCTTTTAATGGAATGAAAGCTCTCTTGCTTGACAAAAAATAAAAAATCATAGTGGTATTGTTGACCCTAGAAATTACAAAGCCTACGTGGCGCGCAGGCCGAGTATATTCTAAGCTAACTACGTCCTTCGGTGATTGCGGGGCGTGCCAACTCGTCGGCCGAGGCTCGGCCGAGGAGTAAATTTGATGATGCTGCGTTGGGTCGCGCTACTGACTTCTGCGTCTTGCGATTGCGGCCGAGAAAGGAACACGTCTCGGCCTCTTGGGTTCTCGAGCCTGAAGACAAGGCTGCTATTTCTTACAAAGTTCACGAACCGAATTCGGCTTGCAATGTGCCGAATGTAATAATTGTGACACCTCACCTCGCCGAGAAGGCTAATGAGATGACCTCGACCAACAAGGATTCGAAAACCCTTCTCGACCGAGACTTGGATAGGTAATCGACCGTTCTCGCCGCAGTGCTGTTGATGCCAACGGAAGATACTGCGAGACCGACCGACTCTACGGTGACAGAGCTATCTATGCCGACTTAAGATATCACCGGTTGCTTCCACAGTGCTGTTGATGCCAACGGAAGATGTGTCAGCGAAAAAGGAAAAGAAAAAGATCTCAAGTTGTGAGAGTTTGCGCATGGCAATTTTGTATTGATTTTGTGGGAGCCCTTCCATTGCTGAACGTCTTGTATTTATAGTAGCAGAACACCGAGCCCGAATTCCAATCCTATTCGAACTAGGTTTCCCTCTCCGGATTAACATTACCTCGATCAGTCCTATCTCTGCTAGGACTACGAATCTAGTCCTTAACTGAGCCGGATTCGCCTTCTAGTTTTACTGATCTCGTCGAGGGTCCCTATTGTATTAGGACTCGACTTGCACTCTGATTTAACCGACCTAGGCTTGGAAGCCCATGAGCTGAACGCCCCATGACCCTCTCGCCGTACAGCTTCCCGGGCCGAAAGTGACTCCTCCCTCGGCCCAAACTGTTATTTTGGGCCTAAACAGGTATTTAATTCAATATGTTGACAAACTCTCTATTACATGGGATATTTTTTTCAAATAAACACTTTAAAGACGTAACATGTTTTAATTTGTTATGAGTGTAATTTTATACTCAAAATGTGAAACTTGGCAGATTTAAGATAAAAATAATAAACTCTTTACAAAACAAAACCCTTAACAAAATAACAAAACAAAAAAAGAAAACAAAAAGAAGAAAGAGTTGGAGAATGTACGATAAGAGCGGGAGATGGAGGAGGAATGGGGTTTGAAGCAAGAATGGAGGCTGGAGGGAGTTAGTAGTCAACAACCGATGCTCCAACTTCACATCGAATCTCTATAAAGAACTTTCACATTCAAACATTTCATTGCTAGCGTCAAATGTTGTGATATATTCGGTCAATTTTGTAGACTTTGGAACGAGGGTAATAATTTTTACATATTTCTTTTAGTTTTCACACACATTTTAATTTTTGTTTCTTATTTTTTTATTAATTCATTTCGAGAGTCAAAAATAACAAAAAATGGTTTAAAGAGCGCGTGGAAGTTTAGGGGTATTCAATCAGGATTTTAAGTTATTCTTTGAAATTTAATGTTTATTCAATCAGGATTTTAAGATAGTTTATTAAAATCCTTAGAAATCCGAGTGTGTTCAATTAGAATTTTAAAGAAGTTTATAACATTCTAAATGTATTCAATTAGAATTAGAATTTAAATAATTTGGAAAAGTTGAGGAATTATAGGGAATTTGAGAGATTTTATAGTGTATTTTAAATATCTACAAATCTCATATATCTTCATGAGATTTCGAAGAAATTCAATTAAAATTTTACATAAAATCTCTACAAATCAATTAAACTTCATAAAAATCTCTTAAATTCTCAATTGAGTCCACTCCTTAAATATCATCAAACGATTTGAATTTATTTGGTTTTGTGGGATGAGTGGACGAGAAAGAGACAGAGAGGGTGGTAGGTGAATTATTTAAGGCCTATTGAGAGGATCCCGATCCCGAGAGATGATCCCAGTGCTCTGGTCCCAACGCTCCATATTCATCAGACGTCAACCTGTCTGGAACGACATGGACGGTGGGACGCCGACATATCTTGAGAGAAGTACAAACTTTTTTCACATGAAACCTTAATTTAATGAGGTAATTAAACATGTATCACTGTCATGGAAGAATTAGGATTCTCTTCTCTTTCTCTCTCTTTATTTTTTTTTATTACCTCTTCTCACATTCTTTTATTTTATTTATTTTTGTTATAAAAAATGAATATAAAAAGTTCATGTGATTTAACCATGATCATTCAAACAGGAGATGAAAGGGGAGGAAATACTCCGTCATGGAAGCCTTGGAGTAGGTACGGCTTGTAAGTGTTGGTATGTTATGTAATGTGGTGCTTTTGAAAAGAAAAAAAATATTAAAAAATTTGTGTTTTGTAAAATAAAAAAAATGTTTTTTTTTTATTTTAAAATTTAAAGTAAAAAAGTTAAAGCAGGTTTTACCATGCTTCTAAAAAGTGTTTTTTTTTCAAAGCATAGTAATTAATGCTTATTTAATAAAAATTTTAAATGACAAGTATACTCTCCACATATTTTACAAAAATACAATTTTTGCCCCTATATTATTGTCCTTGACAATTATTATATCACATTAAATACTATATATTTTTTAGTTATTTAACATATTCAAAGCAATTTATATAAAATTTTACCAAACACTCAGACACTGTTTTTTTATTAAAGCATTTTTACAGAAATTTTTTTTACCAAACACTTAAAAATTTTATTTTACAGCTGTTTATTCTCACAACACAACAAAAGCAGTTTTTTTTTTTTTTTTTTTTTTTAAACACAGCAATACCAAACTAGCCCTAAGACCATTTCTAAAAGCACTTTAAGTGTGTAAAGGCTCCCTTTGGCAATAGGCAATTCAATCTACATCATCTAGCTGTTGGGGGAGGTTTGATTTTTTTTTTTTTACAGTTGGAAATCCAACGGCCCAGGAAAAAATAATCGTTGAAAATCCAACGGCCTGGAAGAACCCACATTGCTCAAGCAACAGTAACTGAGTGAGGCTGATACGCGGGCCCCACCATTTGAAAATATGTGGAGACGCGCCCACATGCGCCCCTACTCGCCGCACGCAATTTTTTTTAATAACATGGCTGACGTTATCCTTGCATTACATCCATCAGGCGCTCGGGCTTTGAATTTCTGCTTGACCTCTTGGTTGGACTCCCCTTAGCCCAATTGCTCGAGGTGGGCTAGAGGGGGGAGGGGAGGTTGAAATTAATTTGGAGCCAATCACAGGGCTATTGCCCACATGGAATCTCTATTAATAAATTAAACTCCATAAAAATCTATTTAAATCTCTTAAATTCCCAATTGAATACATCCCCTTTATCTTAAAAAAATAAAAATTAAGAACTTAATTTTCACTCGCGTAATAATTTACCAAATCAACAATTTTTTTACACTAATATAATGTGATATACTCTATATAAACATGTCATTCTAACTAGGGCCGGCCAGGCCCAGTGCGGGCTGGGCGATTATTCGGGGCCCAAAAAAATAAGGTGCACCAAAACTATTTCGGGCGTTATATTCATATATAATTTCATAAGAGTATAAATTTATAAAATTTGGTTAAATGACCAAGAAATTTAACTAGAACTAGTGGTTTATGTTGTTTAAAATTAACAAGGAGGTCTCGGGTTTAAATAACTATATGTTTATTTACTTTCTAATTTTTACATATTTCTTTTTATAAGGGTATAAATTTATAAAATTTGGTCAAATGATTAAGAAGTTTAACTAGAAGTGGCGATTCATGATGTTTAAAATTAACAAATAGGTCCAGGGTTCAAAATGTTATGTGAAGGTTTCTGTTGTTTAAAATTAAAGAAAGGTCTTAAGTTTGAAATGCTATGTACTTTTATTATTATTATTATTCTTTCCAATTTTTACCAATTTATGTTTGGTTGTTAATTTCTTTTTAATTGCTTGCTAGTAGCTATGTGAGTTGTAATTTTTAGACATTCATTCCAATTCAAGTCTATTGCAATTTTTAGACATTCATTCCAATTCGAGTCTAACATTCAACACAGAGTAATGTGTAGACCAAATTTGCAACACATGATGTGTCACTAATAAGAAATAAGCATGTTAATCAACACTTAAGTAATAATCCAATCATCAACAATCACATCAGACAGTTTACAAAATTTGGTATCCCTAGCATTAGCGTTCAAGAAATTAATGGCTGCATGTCTCATTTTTTTTTTTTTTTGGGTTAAAGGGGCGAATTTTAGTACCAACAGACAACTAAACACATGAGGTCCAAAACAAGTGAGACACAACAAAAAACAAAAGGACCCAAAGTTACGCTAGTTGGAAAACTAAAACCCCACAAACAAAACAACCTAGCCTTTTGTAGACGCCGTCACCGCCTACACACTGCAACCCCGTCAAATCAAAACCAACGCCTTGGACTGCCGTCAAGCATCCATCTCCCATGGAAGAAGAAGATGGTGACTCCTACAACCTACAACGATCATCGTGCTGAACGCAACCAGAATACGAAAGAAGCAGATGGAGAACCCACCAATGACAGTGCCAAAAAAGGCAAGCAAGTGGAAGGTGACAAATATACCCCGTCAATTCTCGAGCGTGCATTGCACCGCATCGTGTGTTATCCCTCTTCGTGCTAGCTACATTTGAACCTTTTGGGCCCATTGGGCCTTTTCAGTCAAATTCTGTTCAGCCCACATTTGGAGATTGGGTTTGTGACAAATATACTCCGCCATTGGAGATGCCTTCATCACCTCAGTGAGAGTCGTCGGAAGTCGGACTGAAAACAGAGCAGATGGCAGCGACGGCGTGTTTCATCATCGTCAGCAGAAACGACATCCCTATTTACGAAGCTGAAGTCGGATCCGCCGCCAAAGTATCATTCTTTCTTTTTCTTCCCTTTCAATTTCTAATTCCAATTGCAATTTTGTTCTGATTTTCCATTGTTTGATTCATTCTGACAATATAATCTCATCAAATTCAATCCAATTTCTATTAATTAAAATGGGTTTCTTCATTTCTTGGCAATCTCTCTGCATCTGCAATGCTCGCTTCAACTTTCTTCATTTTTTGTAATTTATTTATTTATTTGATACTAGTGATGTTCTATTTTAAACTAATCTAAACTGCGAGGAGGGGGATTCGAACTCGGGTGCACAGCGGAGCACATCCGCTCTAGGCAATGTAGTTAATAATTTGTAAATTCATCTAAATATATATGTTTGTACGGCTAAATACGTGGATGGGTAATGGGTGTTGGTTTGACACTTGACACAGAGAGAAGATGCTGCACAGTTGCATCAGTTCATATTACATGCGGCTCTCGACATTGTTCAGGACCTTGCCTGGACTACCAGTGCCATGTGAGCCAGCCACTTTTTCTGTACCCTCCATGCCTTTCTTCTTCCCTTAACTTGTTTATGCGTATGTTATTGATCTTTGTAACATTCTTGGTGCAGGTACTTGAAAGCAATCGATCGCTTTAACGATTTGGTGGTTTCCGTCTATGTTACTGCTGGTCATATCCTTTGTATTTCCAACTCAAATATACGTTTCACCTTCACCTATCTTAGAATTGTATGTTTTCACGGATGTGTTATTTTCTGCGCCAGTTCTTTAGCAACTCCGTCGTTTTTCAAATCAAGAAAGTATCTTTAACTTGTGCTAATGATAAACCTCAGCAGATGGCATAACAACGGTGCCACATGTATGTACTTATGTTGTCTTCAATTTCCGAACATTGCTGTTATTTGTATTTGTTCAACCTGATAGAAGGCTGAGTGAAAGGTCTTCATGTTGTGCTCTGTTAGGTACTGTACAGTTTCGAGTTTGACATTTTCTTTAACTAGACGTACATACACGACTTATGCTACTTCATGACTCTCGTAACGATGATGGAATCAAGAGCTTCTTCCAAGAGGTTCACGAGCTTTACATCAAAGTAAGTCACCACATACCATCAGCCCTTTTATTTAAGTTCATTTTTACACTTCCGTAGGTTCTTGTTGGTTGATGTGGTCTCTGTGGATACCCTACTGTATGCTTCTAATCTCGTAGTCTTGGGTGGCATGAGGTGAATAGAGGTGAACTATGCGTTCTGTAATTATGAATTGTAGTAAAAAGGCTAGCTCTCCTTAGAAAGTACGTAGTTACATTGCCTACACATGTTTCATTTAGAAGTGCTCATGGTCAGTTGTTAGTGCCTAGGAAACCCTTGACTGCGACACATATTCTCGTTACTGTTCCGAGTATCCTCTGATACCAGCAAATAGAGCCACATGTTTAAAATGAAACTCCTTGTGAGGAAGATCAGCTGGTGGTATCTTGGATGAATCGTAGTCGAAGTTAGAGAGTAGAAACTCACTGGCAATATCACTGAATAAGGGATATGCAAAAAGAAAATATGTAAATACAGAGTTTTTGTCTTTCCTTTTATTCTTGCGAATCCAAACAACGATACTAGTTTATGTCAGTTCATGAAATCTTAGAGTTTTGTCTAAACACTCTTAATTATTTCATTACACGGTTTCCATTTTGCAATGTTAACTTCCTTTTGATAACAGAAAGGCATTGATCATTGACTCACAAGATGTTTGTGGATTTGCAGACTCTTCTCAATCCCCTCTACCTGCCTGGTTCACGAATCGCGTCATCACATTTTGATACAAAAGTTCGTGCTCTTGCACGAAAATATCTGTAGGGGCAATGGATGCTGTGGGTACACAAGCTCTTGACTTTTCGCAACGAGGTGCACAGCTTCTGAAACTAGGGGATTTCGAAGCCTTTCCTTTTTGTTTCTTTTTCATGATTCTAGTTCAAGACTGTTACGTATTATACCACGTGTTATTTGCGATATTAGGATTAAGTCGATCAACATTTCAATGCTAAGGGAGAAGTGCATGAAAGAGAACATTTTAAGTATTAAAACATCCAAGGAAGCCAACCTTAAGGGTGCGTTTGTTGTACCGGATTATTTCGGACTAGACTAGCTTCAGGGACTAAGCTAGATTGGCTTAGCTTGGACTAAAAAGGATAAAACAGTGAAATGTTTGATGCAATTTCGGACTAAACTATAGATTAAAATATTTTTAAGAACCACAATATTTTTTTATTATTTTTAATTCACTTTCAAATTATAAAAATAACAAAATAACTATTATATTATGTTTTAGTCGTGGTCCTGCCATTGCCTTTTGGAAGAAAACTGATACCCTTCCTGAAACCCCTTTCTTTCTCTCACAACTTTGTAGAGACACACCTTCCCCTCTTCACTTTCTCTCACATCTTCACTTCTCTTTCTCCCTCTTAGTACAAAAAGTATTGGTGCTCATCCCAGTTGCCATTGACAAAAGTTTACCCTCTCACATCCAAGCAAAACGAACAAATCATACAATCAACAGAGCCCATGGCCTGATTTGGATTTTGGAGGTGTTGGAAAGACTGATGTGCGCCTGATGGAGTGATTAGGTTTTAGAGGCACAACGATTTTGTAAATTTTTTTCTGTTTTTTGTTTCGAATTCTAGGGTTGGATGTTTTGGGTTTTTTTATGTGAGGCAGTGGGAACAACTACGCGATCTGGTTGTGGAAGTGAGGAAGAAGTAAATGAGAGCTGTGAAGCAGGGAGAGATGACACACGAAGCAACTAAAAAGCAAAAGTGGCAGAGGAAGCCGTGATTTACGAGGATGCGACAATGGTCCTTGGATGGTCCAGCAAGGTTGTCGAGCAGGGTGAGGAGTCGAGTAGAGCGAGGAGTCAAGCAGGACAATGCGAGAGAAAAGAAGGGTCTTTGCAATCCGATGGTATTCGGGGGGTCTCACTAAGACTCTAGCGAGCCCCGTAGTCGAGGCGAGTAAGGTTTAATCCCACTAAAGCTAGTCCCTTCCTCTAACAAACATGAGACTACACTAACACCTAGTCCAGTCTAGTCCAATCCCACTTAGTGAGGGCAAACGAACACCCCCTAAGTTCAGTATCTCCGTGTTTTTCTTCCCAAGATTTTGGGTCCGCGGCCACACAAACACACGCACATACAAGCGATCCACGTGTCTATTTTCCGCTGCCACAACAGAAAGTAGCAGTAGCTACTAGGCCAGAGGTAGGACTCATAAACACTTCTAACTACGTAATGCCTAAATCAGAGGAGAAAAACTTGACAACTGCCTTTGAAACTGAAGATGTTCCCATAAACTTGTCGATAAAAAATGCACGATTACATGACATGAAGAGTGATGAAAAGGTCATGAGAAAAACTACGTTATATTTGTAAAATCTTACAAATAAGATTCAAAACCCAAGACCAATTCTGATATCCAAAACCGTCTCTTTCCCGGTTCTAGGGGTGGACCAAGACGAGAGCGTGTGCTTCATCATTTAGAAACAACCTGCCATAGAAGAGACGAGATGAGATGACAACATATGTTTTATATTCCAGAAAATGGTACAAAGAGAACATGACATACCTTCTTTCGGTCGGTCTTCCTTTTCTTTGGAGCAGGCTCCTCACTACTACCCACCTGCCAGGAACCAAAAACATGTGCAATATTAACAACTAAATCAACCACAAAGAAATGCAGGCACGATGAAATGTCAAGTACCATCGTGAAGAAAACAAAAAACAATTACGAACAACCTTATATACAACTGTAAATAGGACCAGATTCTTACAATTTCTGGGCATTTATAATCAATACCAGCAGCCTCAATTTTCTTTTGACGCTTCAGATCTCTCTTCACAATCTTCCCCATTAACTTCTTGTGCTCTTCCACTGTTCTTTCCTGAAAAATCACCACCCAACAAGGAAAAGGTTAATGAGTTGAAAGTCCTTGCAGGTTTGTTGTGCAATGTCAAATGGAGAACTTGCTAGAAGTTGCGTTTCATGTCTTCACTGAATACCTTGTCTTGTCTCTTCCGCTCAATTTGAACCCAGTTCACGGGTCTGACTCGGTAGTTGAAACCTTTCCATCTAAAGTCAAACAAGACACAAATGGTGAGCATTTACAGCAACAAAAGTTATCAGTAAGGGGGAACGCAAGAAATTCTCAACCCAGCAACCAACGTACAATTGAACCACTGATCCTTGGCCCTACCCTTTCCCTCTGCTAGTTTGATGAATGATCTATTTTTCAAAACATTGAATTTAAACCCTGAAAACTTTTTCCTACAATAAAAGTCCCCCTTAACTTTGCTCGCATCTTTTCCCTCCATTCCTATTTATAGTTTTTCACTGTTCTCAGTTTCAAGTGACACAGAAAACTGAACGTGAAATGATTACCACTTGAGATTCAAAGCACACAGATGAACCAAGTCGTAAGATAAATCTTTTAAAGAACCATTGAACAGCTTAACCACATTAATACACATTAGATTTACTATAAACAAAACTATCTTTGATGCCAAACTAACTCTCATATCATAATAAAAGATAAACAAATAATTACTTACAATTTCGGGTGAACTTTCTGCGGAGGAATAAGATGGACTTGCAACACGTGTTCGAACAACAAATAGTTATGCATAGTGTCAGCTACAACTTTCGCCACCTGCAAACAGGGTAGTGTTAGCACTGCAAAAAAAAAAAAAAGGAAACATTTGAGAGTTTAGATAATAAGTTCTAAGAAATTGAATACAACCTGAGGGTCTTCAAACTCAATGAAGCCAAAATGCTTTGATTTCCCTGTCTATTGAACATAAGATGAAAGAAAAAAAGAGTTAAAAAATGTCAAAAACATAATAATTCCTGTAACTATGATACTGCATACTAAATGAAAGGGATCTTTTATCTTCAATTATTCACAAGTCAGGGAGGAAAGAAGGAGTTGTAGAACTACATTCAAGAGTGATAAACATTATACTTATCTTCAGTTACAAGGAGCTAAAGAAGTTTCAATTGGGAACTTAAAAAATAGGGAAAACATATATATAGTGACACAGTTGTGGTCCAGCAGCCTAACCTTTTTGTTACGCGCAATTCTTAATTTCTTAATCGAACCAAATTGCCCAAAAAATCCTGTGAAAAACATCCAATCAGCAGTTTTAGCAGGTACACAATTACAAACATAGCAATAACCTTGAGCACATATTACAAAACATTTGTTCTTCATTCAAATACATCATATTTGACAATCTCTATTGCACACCTTCCATTTCTTTCTCATAGAAGCCATGAGGTATCCGACCAATGTATAAAACTGTTGCAACATCCTCTGTAGGCTTTTCTTGGGGGAGTTTCCGCGCTGGACCGCCTTCTAATGGCTTAACGCATAAATTCACCACCAAAACAATAAATAACACAACCAAAAGTGAAAGGGAAATAAATAAATAGGATTAAATTAAGCATTACCAAGAAATCAGCAGCGGTAGAAGCAGTAACAATTGCAGTAGCAGGAGGAGCAGCAGCTTCTTTATTTTTGTGAGAAGAAGCTGTTAACTGAGCAGAGGCTTTGCTCAATTGCTTTTTCATCGCCTTTTTCGCCTTGGCCCCCATCTCGCTGCTGCGAATACGCAATAATTTGTTACTAATCTCAAATGAAATTAAATTAAATAATTTAATTTGGACAAAATTCATATACCAAGTACAAGAAATTGACAACATTTACATGAGTGCCGCAGAGCACAAAAAAAATCCCAAACAAACTCACGCAATCAAAATCCAATGAATCTAAACGAGCTCCAATTTCTTTTTATCTCGAATTTCACACCGATTTTCTCAGCAAACAAACAGAAATTTATGATTCATGAGAGAGCAAGAAAACATCATAACTTGAAGGAATCCGAGATTACCATTCCGTGATAACAATTAAAGCACAAAACGTAACAAAAATCACCGCTAATTACAGAACATATATATGTATATATATATATATATATATATATTAGAGAGAGAGAGAGAGAGAGAGAGAGAGAGAGAGAGTAGGGTGTACCTTCACCTGGAGAAAATAGAGCTAGGGTTTTTCTGTGTAAAGAAGAAGACTGGGAGTCTGAAAGTGGAGGAGGAGGAGAAGGAAAGAGGCGGGTTTTAGGTTAAGGTTTTTCTGTTTTATTTTTTTGGTCGACTTCGCTTTCTCATAGGCCTTGGGCTTGGTCTTGGGCTTGGGTTTCGGCTCGGGCTTTAGGTCATGTTTAAGCAAAGCTGGAAAAATCACACCAAAAGAGGAAGAAGAGCAAGCATATGGTAACTCAGATGGTTAAGGACATTGATTTTTGCATCCGAGATTTCGAGTTTGAATCCTTCTCCCAGTTGTTTAATGAACATTTTCGGTTGTGAGCAATTTCTCATTGGTGACTACTTTTTTACTTTTAAATAAATGAAATATGTATGGATACATGACGATGTCGTGTTGGAAAATGTCAATTGAACTGGTTTGTGGACGTGAAAATACATTTTTACCCTTTTATTTTAACAGATATTTTGACAAAAATGACATTTTTCAGTTTGTGCTATATTACTAACCTCTTTGCCACGGGGGTTTAAATATCCCAGGAGTTATCTTTCAACAAGTCTCTTGTGGAGCAATTAACTAGTTTGAGCTCTACCGACGCCATGTATTTGCTCCTTAATTATCAAGCCTGAACTAGTCGTAATTTTACTCAGAATTGAGATTTATGTCATGCATACGGAATTTTGTTATGGTTTTACATTTTCTTTGTGGTGTTATGCATGTGAATAAGCGACAAGCATGACGAGTACACAAAGGAGAGAATGAATGCGATAAATTAATGATGAGTTCGAGCTCTACCGTCACCATTCCCATTCCATATTGTGATTCAAAGTGTCTTAATTTTGAACCTTCGTGACATTTTTTCTCTATGGGCAGTAGTACACTTTTCTTTTAGTTTTGACCCTCATGTCACGAATGTTTATAAGGAGAGGAAGGGCTCTCCGCCAATATCACGGTGGTAGAATGTTCTTGGCCAATTTCTCTTCCACTGGCAGTCACCCCAAGATCACGGAAATATTATTGCTCACCATCT